GAATTTTTTATTTTAAATTAATAAAATAATTGATATATAATAATTATTAAAAAGATTAATTTATTATTAAAAAATTTTAATTAATAGTATATAAATTAAAATTATCTTTAAATTCTTTAAGACCAATTAGGACCTATTAGGACTTTTATCAACCCTAGTTTTACATGATACAAATATGAATATAAATTATAATTAGTTTAGAAAATGATATGATAGTAAAATTCTCAACTTTTTGATTATATAGAGCTTAGTATTCTCAGAATCTTTACCTATGAGTATATAATAATGTGAATAGAATCTTTTTATTATCTACTAAAAGATAAGGATACTTCATTTTGAGAAGCTTGATTTCTTTTACAAAAAATGTTGAGAAATATTTATTTGCAGATCCATTAATACCTCTTGTCTTTTTTTGGTAGTATTCACAGTAGAGATCAAAGCAACATTATCTTAAATAAATCTTTTTTATATAGATCAAAGTTTTTTCTTGGAAATCTTACCAAACTTTTCTGATTTTGCTTCCCAATTTTTCTACAGTTGATTTCTTATCAGTTACTGTAGGAAAAATATTTTTGATAGCCTCATCACAAATAAAGTAATTGAGGTGAACTTTACTAGAGCTGGAAGACATCTTGCTTCTCATTATCTATAGATAATAGGTTTATAGTGAGAAAATCTCATTTGCATGTACTGTAAGCATAACTTTTAGAATATACACATCTTAAAATTTTTGTAAGAAAATTGGCTAAACTTTCATATATTCTCATTTGCTTTATATGTAGGCAGAAAATCTATACTAGGAACTAACCAACTAATTTTGAATTTCAGAAGTATCAGCTTATACTAGAACACTGGTTGAAATCTTATACTTCTCTTCATTTTATGCATATAAAAAAAATATATAACATCTGTAGGTACACGTTCATTTTCATACACGTGCTGATGCTTCACGTTTCTATTATGAAATGGAAAATAAAGAAATTGAAGGACAACAAAACTATAAATATAGTTTTATCCAATTTTCAAAATTAACATTCTACAGATCCGGAAGGAAAGTTGATTATGTTATTGTTAGTTTTTTTTAATATAATATGCAGCTATATTTTATTCATTTCCTTATCAATACCTTAATTGCTACCTCTACTCAATATATGGCACATGCGTTGATTGAAAATGATGAATTTTATTTGATATAATTTCATACATCAGGAGTCAGAGATAAAAAACAAGTAGATATCGATTTACCATCAAAATTTGAACTCAAAATCGATTTACAAAGCAAGTAGCAATTGTAAGTTGTATGCTTAATGTATTAAATAGAAAATAATCAGATAACACCTTTCATCATATTCTGAATAGAATTATCTTAGAAGCAAATGTTAACATCATAAATGGCATTATGACTATAAAGTTTCCAGATCAATTACAATTGGTATTATTTCTTTCTCTCTCTTTCTCTCTCTCACACAGAGAAAGAGAGAGAGAGTTATTGGTAATTGACATTATCATTCGAGTTGTGCTTTTTTTTTTTTGATTATATTTAGATTATTACGACTTGTTCCTGATTCAAATTAATTCATAATTAGTTCACTATATTTTTTTTTAAATAATATTTTATTTGTCTGAAGTTAATTTTAAGGTTTAGAAGTTTTCTTATTTAATTTACTTAATAATTCCTGATTACCTAAAATATACATTCAATATTGCATGAATAAAAATGAAGAATTGATTTATTTTCAAAAAATATTACGACTGTACTTTGAAAAGCTAATATGAGAAATGCTTAGACTGAACGTTCATTTGTATTACAAACCTTTTTTTTTAACAACACATATCCAAATTATATATAACAAAATCTTATAAATTCTCAAGTTATTCAGCTATGTAATAGTTCAACATCTGAAGTCAGTGAAAACGTCGACCTAGGTTCGCTCAAATGCCTTACCTCTGATCCTGAGGTGACAGATCACACTAGAAAAAGGGAATGGATGAACTCAAACACGAATTATTCAACCTCCTTTCAGAATCAGAGAGTTCATCCTTTATAAACCAGAATAATGTGAACGAAGTTTTCGAGATGGCAAAAAAAAATCTGACTCGCCGAAGGTAATCATTTTATAAAAAATAAGGTTAGTTATTTCTGTCAACATGTTTCAAATGAATTAACGACTAATTTTCTGCATTTGTTTTAGATGTTTGAACATATTATAGTAAAATATCTTGACAAAACACTTAGTAAACACTGGTATATCCTTGAGATATTAAAATATACAGAATTCAAATTATTCATGGATACATTGGAAGATTTTAAATTTGATTTATACACATTAACTCATACTTTTCCACCGTCGAAGCAAAGAAATTTATTACCGATCTTGAACTTCACGCTGAAGTGAGAATAAATGTCACTTCCACTTATACAGTTAAAGTTTTAAAGGTAAGTTTAAGAAACATATTTCGCAATAGATTGACTTATTAAAAAATTTTTCAGGATACGAGAGAATCAGAAGTTTCTTAATAAATTTATCATTTCATCGTCATCGTAAGTTATAGTTCAAATGAGAAGGATCATAGAGAGAAGGTTGCGAGACCCTTAGAGGTAGAAGATATCTTTTGAACAAAGCCAACGTAGTGAGCTACAAATACCTGAGGTATTTATTCTTATTCTATTTTATCTTTAATTTTTAAATTTTTAATACGTAAGCATGTTATCCAAATTGACTTTAAATATATTATACACAAGATGTAGAAGAGATAGAAAATGCATAAAATTTCTTTTGCGTTTTAAAATATTGGATGGTTCGCACCATAATTAAAATATATAACTTACTTTATAATATCTTACATATTTATAAAATGGGATAAGAATTTTCTTTATAATATCTGACTTTTTTTAAAAAATTTCATTTATATACTTTTCAATTTTTAATTGCAATTTTTATTTGTATTAAATATTATTACATGGTGATGACTAATGTTCACCCACGTTTATTTCATAATAAATTTTTTATTTCAAATATGAGAAAAAAAAAACGTGTAAAAATTATGCATATATTGAAAGAAAAACCAAATACTTTTAGTTATGCGAAGAAACATGTCATTTTGCATCAAATATTGCTCAATCTAAATAAGTAAAATAATACTTCCAAAAAAAAAAAGAAGCTATTAAACACATCTTGTCAATGTGTAAATGAAAAATTTGGTGGCAAAATAGATGATCAGGTAGTATTTCTTAATATTATTCCTGTAAGAGGATTTTTTTAAGGTGTTAATGAAATGAATGCGCATTAATGATACTATTTTTGTTTAATTGAACCTTAAAAATCCTTGTATCCTTTTTTTAGAAAGAAACTTGATTTGAAAAAACTAACTGCGTCGAACCGCAGAAATCAGATCAAATGACAACTGGTAACACAAAAATTCTGATCATAAAAGGTAAATAAAACCGATTATTTTTTGTTAAAATATAATTTTGGGCCGAAAACGATAAATTATTTGTTCCTACTCAATATCTTGCTGCAGTTCCATGATCGAATCATACTTTTCGATAAACAATTTACAGGAACAAACAAAACCATTTTTCTAGTATTTGTACACTAACATCTTTTCTTAGAAGATAGGTGGGATAGATCTATTTTTTTATGCTAAGAATAAACCCTGTTTTTCTTTAAATGTTGTTCAGATCATTGGCGTACAGCAAAAATCCGCCCCATTTGTTCTGTATGTATGATCATTGAACAATGATCCCCCTCTTTTCCCTTATTTGATACAATATACTATATGATTATCATCGTGGGATCGGATTTTTTTGATTATTACCATTTTATTTAGGTGGGTTTATTATTCTAACTTGTAATTTATAGGTTGATATCTATCAAATTGACAAACAATGAACTAATATAAAATTGCCACATCAATAAAAACAATCTTTTATGTTGCGTTATATTAAAAAAAAAAAAATTATTTCCAATTAGAGAATGTGCTTTACACTGCGTGAGGAGTACTTTTTACCTTCATAGCACAAAATAGATATATTTACCAAATCACGTTTGACTACTGGTTCAGTTAATTTAATGGAACTAAAAAATATCATGTTGTTCTCACAAGAATCGCCCACTCTTAAGTATGATGATTAAATAAATATAATTACACAAAAGTAAACCCAATAAAGTAAAGATTCAAAATTGATTGACCTGATTGGATGCAAGTGATGTGTATTAAATCACTTTGATTGGTTTAAATTATTGATATTTTTTTAGGCGTAGATTTTTTTTTTTTTTTTTTTTAGCTTAAAAATAAGCAAAGTTCTTTACTCTCTTGATTTTTCACATTCTGTTTTTTGCCGTGCATTTTTTTATTTTAATAATATTTTTTTTTTTAAAAAAAAATCTATACCCAAACTATATATCTATATAAGATTTTAAAAAACATTATTACAGTTATTACAAAATGAGAGAAATTATTCACTTGCAAACAGGTTTGTTAACTAACTCTGTTTACTATAAAAGAGTAAAAAAGCTTTATAGTTTCTATAACTCTCCTATTTATATTAACATTTTTTTACTATTTTTACCTAGGACAATGTGGTAACCAAGTAAGTTTTGTAACCTTTTCTTCTTTGATTAAAATTGAGATTACTTAACTGCGACAAAAAGACAAAAAAATATTTTATTTATTTCGGTCTTGTTTACTTAGATCGGTCAAAAATTTTGGGAAGCAATCTCTGCTGAACATGGTCTCGACCCTTCCGGTTCTTACCATGGCGATAGTGATCTACAATTAGAACGTATTAATGTATATTACAATGAAGCTATGGGTGGTAAATATGTTCCAAGGTTAGTAAAATAATTGCTTTTCTTTTTTATATATATTGTTGATACAAAAAATTTCAAAATTTCTAATTTATCTGATGATTTACATTATCAATAGGGCTGTACTAATAGATCTTGAGCCTGTAACTATGGATTCTATCAGATCTAGTCCATATGGTCAACTTTTCCGTCCTGATAATTTCGTATTTGGACAATCTGGAGCTGGTAACAACTGGGCCAAGGGTTATTACACTGAAGGCGCTGAATTGGTTGATTCCATCTTAGATGTTCTCCGTAAAGAATCAGAATCTACTGATTGTCTTCAAGGCTTCCAAGTCACTCACTCTCTTGGAGGAGGTACTGGATCCGGTCTTGGTTCTTTATTATTATCCAAGATTCGTGAAGAATATCCCGATAGAATGTTATGTACATTCTCGGTGGTTCCATCGCCAAAAGTATCTGACACTGTTGTGGAGCCTTACAACGCTACCCTTTCTGTTCATCAACTAGTAGAAAACAGCGATGAAACTTTCTGTATTGATAATGAAGCTTTATATGACATTTGCTTCCGTACACTTAAATTGAATAATCCAAGTTATGGTGATCTTAACCATCTCGTGTCAGCTGTCATGAGCGGTATCACAACATGTTTACGTTTCCCTGGTCAATTAAATAGTGACTTGAGAAAACTTGCTGTCAATATGGGTATATATTATTTTTAATTGAATTTATTTTAAACATGGTTAATTTATTTATCTTAACAATTATATTCCTCTCTTTTGTCTATTAGTTCCATTCCCTCGTTTACATTTCTTCATGGTTGGTTTTGCGCCATTAACTTCTCGTAGTTCACAAGGTTTTCGCGCTCTCACAGTACCAGAGTTGACTGCACAAATGTTCGATGCACGGAATATGATGGCCGCATCAGATCCTCGTCATGGACGATATTTAACTGTCGCGACTATTTTCCGCGGTAGACTATCAACAAAAGAAGTTGAACAGCAAATGCATACGATTCAAATGAAAAATAGTTCATACTTTGTAGAATGGATTCCATCAAATGTTAAGATTTCCGTTTGTGATATTCCACCAGTTGGTCTCACCATGTCTGGTACTTTCGTCGGTAACAGCACCGCCATCCAAGAATTGTTTAAACGCATTAATACGCAGTTCACTGCTATGTTTAGACGAAAAGCTTTCTTGCATTGGTATACTGGGGAAGGTATGGACGAGATGGAATTTACCGAAGCTGAATCTAACATGAACGATTTGGTTTCAGAATATCAGCAATATCAAGATGCCGCCGGTATATATCTCTTTTCGATTTGTTTATTTATTAGTAATTCTTTTCCTAAACCGATTTACTTATTTTATTTTTTTTCTTTATTAGTTGAGGAAGAAGTTGGTGACGATTATGAAGGTGAAGGTGAAGAATATGCTGGAGAAGAGGAAGCCGAATAAAACAATCAGGATAGTGATTCGATAAAAAAAAAACCAACAAAAAAAAAATACCTCCGGATTTTTTTCATTTTAATTTTTTCACGTAATCCGCTAATCTCATCCATATATATATATATATATATATATATATAAAATACTATTAGACTTTTATTTTTTTTAACCATTTAATATCATTCATATGCAGTTTATTCGTATGTAACATAATAACATTTTATCACATTCATATATATTCTTCACCCCCTTGTTGATTAGCTTATATAGCGGAAAATTAATGTGTTCTTCATCATATAATGTGTATTAGAATTATTATAATAGGATCCGATTAATTTTATCTGGGGATATTAATCTTTTTTTTTTTTTTTTACTTTCCCTTCAAAAAAAATCTTAATAGTGAAATTTAGCTTTTTTCATTATATTTTTTCGTAGATACTATTAAAAAACAAAAAAAAACAAAAATATATATGCATAATATATATTTTTTTTTACTTTATCAATTATCAAATTTTTTTATTTAATGTTTAGAAAGAGAAATTAAGAATTACAATATTTATGATATTGTGATGTATTATAGACATTTTTCGTAGACTTAGAATTGTATTTTTCTATAATAAGAATAAAAAGAAGTTATTTATTCGTAAATTTTATGTACGCAAACTTTTTCTTGGTAATGGTGACATCTAAGAATTTTAAGTTAATTCGATTTTATCACTGCATGTATTCATTTGAATGAAAAAGTATATACAGGACATTTCTTGGTGACAAATCCAGGGTTAAAAAATGGAACAGAAAAATTCAACAGTTAATGCAAATTCAGTTGAGACTAATAAAAAACAGATCAATGAGGAAGTACAACAGAATAGAGAGTTTTCACCAGAAATACCATTACTTAAAAAAAGGATTCGAGTCAACAAAAGAGAACGAAAAGAAATGAAGAAACAAAATATTAACGAGGGGAAAATAATTCAAAAGCAACGGAAGCAGAAACAACAACAGAAACCACCCAAACCACAAGAAATTCAGTATGAACCTATATTAAGAGAAATGATTGCATTGCCTAATACAGAAGAAGAAACGAGCGGAATAACCATTATGACTTACAACGTATATTTTTGATCTCTTTTTTTTTAAAAAAAAAAATAAATTCGTTTGTTTTTAAAATTATAATCTGTTAATTTAAATTTAAAATTAAAAAATTTTTTTTTTTTTTTTGAAATAATGAAAAATGGTCTTAATAAGTTACTCGCACAATCTCTTTGTAAACGAGATTTATTTCCAAATTGTGGTGATGCACTAAAATGGAAAAATCGACGACCAAGGTTAACAAAAGAAATATTTCATTATTCACCTGATTTAGGATGTTTTCAAGAAATGGAACATACAAGTTTTACTGATACGTTTAAACCCGAATTTGATAAGTTTGGTTATGATACACTTTTTTTTAAGAGCGACACTAAACGACATGGTAAGTTTATTAATCCTTTTAAGATCCTACATGATAATTTTTGATGAATACGATTTAATTGATTAAAAAATAATTAGGTTGTTGCATAGTTTGGAAAAAATCCAAATTTACTAAATTAAAGGAGTTGACATTGGATTTTGATAAATTTGGATTGCCTACTATGAAAACAAACTGTATCGGAATTGTCGTTGTATTGGGATGCGTTGGGTTAGAAAATAAAGGTGTTTCGATTGGTACTACACATCTTTATTGGAGACCCGAGAGCATGTATGAACGTGCTAGACAATGTATGATACTTTATCAAAATCTTTTAAAACTTAACGAAGAATTTAATTTTCCTGCGTTTTTAGCTGGTGGTAAGTAGAAAAATGAAAAAAAATTCCTTTTATTTCTTCCGGTAAATCAGCTTTGCTAAAAAAGAAAAAAAAAATTATTTTCTTTTTATAATATTCAATTAGATTTTAATTCAACCCCAAAAGATCCAATTTATCAGTTAATGGTAAAAAATTCATTGACCAAAAAACAAATTTCAATATTAAAAAATTCTATAAGAGCTTTTGGAGAAGAAATAGATAGTATTAGTGTTGGCAACGATGGTAATTTTCCTGAAAAGAAGGAAGAGAAAGAAGAACAATTTACATCGTCAACTGATGAAATTATAATTGAACAATCGATTAATTCTCTTACGAATACTCAATCATCTCAACCATCATCTCTTACTTTTACGTTAGAACCTTCCCAATTAGATTCATTACTTTCAAATTTTGAGAATTTACCAAAATGTTTGTCACTCTATGGACAAAATTATCATTTAATTGATTCAGAAAATATTGAATATTCTGAACCAAAAATCACTCATTACGGATTAAATTTTAAAGGGACTTTGGACTATATATTTTATATCCTTGACCATGAAAAGGAAAATATTAACGAGAAAAATGAAAGTAAAGACGACGAGAGTAAATTTAAAGTATTTAAATTATTAAAATTACCAAGAAGAGAAGAATTTGAATCTACTTCTTTACCCAATTATAAATTTAATTCCGACCATGTTTGTTTAATGGTTGAAGTTGTTGTGCTTTGATGTTTAATATGAGGTAAAATATTAATCATAATTATTGGCTCTGTTGAAACTTTTTACTAGAATCAAATTTTCTTTATAGAGTTTAAAAATTTTTTATTAGAATAATTAAAAATTTGGAAATCATGAAACATGCCAAGGTAATGATCGTTGTTATATATATATATATACTAATATGCCTTAACTTACCCTAACCTTATACCGGTAATTGTATCCGCACCGGTCATTAAAAGTCTTTAATACTTACTATTTATAATATAATATAATTAAAAATACAATATAAAAAATTTTGGAGCTAATCCTTCTTTTTATAACCGGAACAATAACCAAGAGATAGACTTATACTCTTTTTGGTTTTTTTTTTTTTTAAAAAAAAATTATTTCTATTAAAAATTGAAGATCGGTTACAAAATTTATATTGAACCCTTTCAATCATAAAAATACATATATATGCAAAGAAAAATAGATGAATCTTTTGAAATGAAGATAGTAAAGGAGGAGTGTATTAGTTATAAGATTTTGTTTAAATAACTGTACGTATAAAAGTAATATTTACCTTCTTGGTAATTTAAGAATTAAATTCTCCGGCTTTTCCTGTCTGTAATAAAAAAGGAACAAAAATTTAATTAAGTAAAAATCAACATATATTCTCTTAAAAGAAAAGTTTTTCGATAGACTTACTATTAATAAACCAACGATTAAACCAAATAAACCAAGCACACTACCAAAAATTTCGACGACAAGTATCTTTACAAATAATTGAGGATCCTGAGCATCAGCAAGAGCAGCAGTGCTACCAGTAACTCCTACAGCCATTCCACAAAATAGATTACAAAATCCAACAGTTACTCCACCCCAAAATATTGCAAACCCTGTAAAATAATTTGATTGTGTCTTTAAATCTGTTGATGGTATACTTTGTAATTTCGCAGAGAAAACGATTGCCATAATTACACCATAAATTGCTACTACTTCACAAAAAATGATGCTGATTATGAAAAGAAAGGGAAGGAAGTGAAAAAATAAAGAGGTGAGAGAAATTAATGAAATAGGCTGTAATATAAAAGGAGGAGAAAATAAATTCATCGTTGACGTACCTAATGAGATTCTTTGTCTTAATCCTTGGAGCTTTCACGGCTCCTCCGAGTATACTTGAGCCGGTAATGAAGATCCCCCTAATGAATGATGATACAAAATCAAATTTAGATAATCTAACAAAATACTAAAAGTTCATCGCAAAAAAAAAATGAAAATGAAAAAGAGAAAACAAAAATTTTTTTTTTTTTGTATATTTTGAGATTATTACCATGCAGCACCAACTACACTAAGGCCAATACAAAGACCTATTCCAATTAGTGCCCAAGCATAAGGACTGATTTTCTCAAGAATATCATGGAAGATGGTTTTTAATTCAATATGTCCAATTTTTATCATTACTATGATAAAAATGAGAACTGCTGTAGTAAAATATGCATATAAATATGAAAGTATTTTGCCAAATCCACTATATGCCATTATAATAACTTTTTATAAACGTTAAAGACAAAAGGATTTCAAAAATTATTAAAATTATTACAAGTAAAGGGTGAATGTTTTGGTTGGGCGTTTAATAAACATTATTTATTCAATCTCGTTTATCTTTAATATCAGATTATCAGATCAGTCAAGTCAAAGTCACACGTTATACTACATAAACTTATTTGTCGTCGGTGATCAGCGAATTTCGAATTTCGGATCAAATTTTTTTTTTTTCCTTTTTTTTAAAAGAAAAAAAAAGAAGGAAAATGAATAATGGATTTGCAGAAAAGCAACTAGCAAAGTATGGATGGATTAAAGGTCAGGGACTAGGAAAGGATTCTAATGGAAGAAAAACTCCAATTTTTATAACTAAAAAGGATGATACACGTGGGGTGCGTTCCAAATTTTATAGTTGTCTGGGGCAACGCGAGAACTTTTTCACGAAAAAAATAACCGTATCATTACTTCGTTCTTCTTTTTTTTGAAAATCATCAAAAGCTTGGAGATAATTCGGAAGATTGGTCATTTGAATGGTGGAATAAAGTATACACGAAAACTCTAGATAATATAAAAGTATCAAAAACTTCTGGTGGGGTAAGTCCTTCCTTTCTCTGATACCATTATATCACGATCGTTAATTTTTATTTGAATAATTCAAAAAAAAATTTTTTTATTTAATTATTCTAGGAAGTACAAGTTTCTAAAATTGTCAAAGAATCAACAATTCCTAGAAATCATATGGGAATTATAAGTACAAGCGAATCACTTTATTCTCTTTCTGATTCTTCTAATTCAATTTTAGCCACATCATCTGAATTATCTCATAAGAGTAGATTTAAAGATGATGAAATCTCTTCATCTTCCAACTTAAAAACGAAGTCATTATTCTATCATGGAAATTTCGTCAAAAGTTCGAATGGAATATTGGATTTCAATAGGTAATCTAATAAACTTATCCTTTCAATCGTCTTTAAAACACCCTTTAAAAAAAACGAATTTGATTTTAGTTGGAATAAACCAACGAAAGAGACAGAGCTAAATCATGAATCAACAGGTTTGGATTCCGTGAAGAAAGAAAAAGGATCATGTTTTGCAGTTACATCAGAAAATTGTGATAAACAAGATGAGAAGAAAAAAAGGAAAGAATCAACAAAGAAGAGAAAACGTGATATTTTAGGTAAAAAGGAAAAAACGAGAAAAGAAAAAAAAAAAAAGGAAGATGATAAAAATGATAAATGATAATCATAAATCTAAAAGGAAAAGGAATAATTGTATAAATTTAATCGCGTGGTCATTTGAACATTGTGAAACCTGTCAAAATCTAGTGTAACCTGATAAAGTTTAACTTGATCAATAATAAAAAAATTTTCGAAAATTGTTAAATACCCTCCACTCAAAAATGCCCGAAGAAAATCCTAACTCAAATGCTTCTCGTCGTTTAGAAAATATAATCGGTCATATAAATATAATAGAAAATAAAGAATGGAGAACTTTATCACCTAGTCAAACATTAGCAGTACGTACTAATAGAGAAATCAAATGGAATGGACATGGATATAAAGACACGTTTTTTAAATTTGATGATAGGGGGACCGCCTCATTGCTGGGAAATAGATTTGGTCATTTTAGTTCAAAGGAATATCATGAACTAAGACCATGGTTAGAACAAACTTTACGAATAAACTTAAAAACCGTATGCCCAGCGCAAAAATCAATGGTCGAGATACATAGTCCCGAAGTAAATCATGTTTTTTATGATACAATTAGACCACAAGGAGTAATCATTTCATTCTCGGAACAAGATAGATTATCGCATGGACATGGTAATAGTACAATGGATATTTATAATTTAAGGTATCGTAATTTTAATAGATTGCCTGATGCAGTTATTTGGCCCGAAAGTCATAAACATGTTGAAATCATTGTGCGTTCAGCGCAAAAATTTAATGTTGGGTGTATACCTTATGGAGGAGGATCAAATTATGTTAACGCGTTAGAATGTCCAATTGAAGAAGAAAAACGAATGATTGTTTCTTTAGATATGAGACAAATGAACAGAATTCTCTCCTTAAATAATGAAAATATGATTGTAGTCGTTGAAGCTGGTGCCATCGCAAAAGATTTAGAGATGGAATTAAGAAAATTAGGTTATAGTCTCGGGTGGAATGCTGATTCTTTTGAATTTAGCACAGTTGGTGGATTAGCTGCTTTAAGGTCTAGTGGATTCAAGAATAACATGCATGGAGATTTTGAAAATAGCATAATTAATATGAAAATTGTTACACCAATTGGCACAATACAAAAAAACGGTTCTAGTAATTCTCCACCAATTAATTCTGGTCCTGACATAACGAATTTATTATTTGGATCGGAAGGAACATTAGGCGTTATAACCGAATTAACATTCAAGCTACATTATTTAACTCCGTTTCGTCATTACGTTTCAATATATTTTCCATCATTTCATCAAGGTCTTTTATTCTTAAGGGAAATCGTTCAAAAAAAAGTTATTAATAATTTAAGTGGTGCCAGGTTAGTTGATGAAACTGGATTACAATTAGTACAAGCTTTTAACACTATTACACCTACTATCACTACAGTATTTAGCGAAGTATTAAGAAAATATTATTGGAAAAAGTTTAAAAATTTAAAATTTGGTAAAATGTGTTTAGCTGCTATTGTAATTGATGGCTATGATCAAAGTAAAATGGATAATGATGAAAAAAGAATTTTAAATACTGGTGAAAAATTTGGTGGGGTTGATGCTGGTTCTGATTTAGGCGAGAGAATGTTTTTTATGTCAAAGGTAAGGTGAAGGAAAGTGAAAGCTTTAAATGAAATTATGCACGATGTGAAGATTTGATAAGTTGAACTAAAAAAAAAAAAATATTACATAGGGATTACCTTATCTTCGTGATTTTCTTTTAGATTATTACGCTATATCAGATTATCTTGATACTTCAACATCTTGGTCAAATATTGAGGATCTCGTTGCCAAAGTTAAAGAAACTATAGTGACAACTTGTAGAGCTCAAAGGGTTCGTCCAAGACCATATGTTGCGGTTAGAGTGGACCATATGTAAGTCTCTTTTTAACTTCGAACGATTTATTGAAATGTTAATGAATCCTCGTTATAGATATGAAACAGGTGCAAGTTTAACTTTCACTTATGGATATAATTGTCGTAATCTTGCTGATCCACTTGGAACTTTAAGACGCGTAGAACAAGTTGCGTTAGTCGAAATATTAAAGTCAAATGGTTCGATATCACATCATACTACCGGCATAGGGAAACGTAAAAAAGAATGTTTTATCGAATCTCTATCTGAGGTATCTTTATCATATAGTAATATATTATTTATTATTTAAATGTCTTTTTAACTTGATTTTTATTTTTGTTTAGCCTGCACGTGAAATAATGAAAAATGTAAAAAAGTAAGTTGACACCCATTTGACCTTTTTTATTTATTTATTTTTTTTTTAAAAAAAAAGGTATATACTAAGATTGTATTCAGAATTTTAGATCCAACAAATATTTTTTGCGGTCAGAATTTATTATGAATGTAGATAATGTGTCTAAATAACAAAGAAAAAAAATTATTCAAACTATTTATATCGAAACTGCTATATGGGCGGTTTGCTAAAAATCATCAGCCACGTGTATTATTTTTTTTACTTATTTATAATAAAACAACTAAAAAATTATAATAAAAGTATGCAAATAAAAATAAATGTTTCTCATAATTTTCGATAGTTCAGTTAAGCATGAAATGCAACAATGAGCATACTAGAATCGCTAGATTATTGAAAGCCAATAATGGCAAGTTATCAATAGATGTCAATCGCACAGAATTATTATAAGGATGTCAAGTATAAGAGATGACAGCCGGCAGATTAGAATCACTAGATATAAGTCATCTGTAGATAGCCGTTCTTGAGCATTCATATCTATATCTTTTATGATTTTGAAATTAACAAAAATCAAGGATCAGGAAAAATAAATACCATATATTTCCGAAAAGAAGCACTCCTGAAAATAAGCATTCCACATTTTTATATATACAAAAAATAAGCATCTCTTGAAAGTATCTTGGTCAATTTCAACCCTCATTGCGACGAATCTAATAAACTAAATTTCATTATTATATGACCACTACTTTTAAGTCTTTAAATATACATATTTAGAATTTGAGATTTTTGTTGTAGATTTATAGGATATATGTATATTGCAGTTGCAGATTATATTGATCTTGAGATCCTTTTATCCAGATATCATACCTGTAATAAGTCTTAAAATATTAATAGTACTATAAGTGATTTGGTAAACTATATATCATTCTATATTATTATGAGGAAATTCATTAATAAAAAATAAAGAAAAACCCATTTTTTACAACATATAGGTGGTTTAGCTAACATTTCATTATACTTATACATAAAGATATTAACAGTCTAATGTTGAATAGTTCAGATTGATCCTAATCATTTGATTTTCTAAATTATTTGTAGAAGAAGAAAAATTTTTTCGTTTGTTTGGAGTTTCAGTATTGAAATTGTTTGGGTTTTTTGTTTAAGAGGTAGAAGGTGTTTGAACGAAGCATTTTGAGCATTTAAAGCAAAAAGTTTAGTAAAGGTATTTTTGTTTTGCGAATTTTTGTTTGAATTTTTTGTTTGTCTAGCGGTAGTCATGTTGAAGTAGGAAAGAGTTTTTTTTTGTCAAAACTGGATCAGTAGATTAGCGAAAAATTGATCTACAAGATCGCTATGTAACATATATAAATATGGTTAGACACATTTTTATATAGTTTTGCCACCCTATCTCACTGAGATCCTATTGTAGGTTACACTACAATAGACCCTAATTCAGCCCTTGGCCAAGGCAGATCATAATAATTAATTTATGGGATTTACCAATTTGATTTTGGAAATAAATTTTATAGGATGTATATAAATCATGTACATTAAAGATCACAAATTTGTAGAATAAAATGACTTTTGATAGTTGTTTATATAAAGGATAGTAACTCCTATGATATAAGCTATGTAAGGTCACTTCGTCTACACACCGTCCTGATAACAGGTAATAGTGGTAAATAACTTGATGCATAGTGAACCAATTGAGTTTGAAACCTATGTTATGAGGCTGGTCTGTAATAGACAATTATCACATCATTTGCAAATAGTACTATCAAAGATAAGATTAATGGTAGGCACTTTATAACTTGAATTGAACAATAGTCATAAGTAATAGGTGGTTGATATTACACTGTCTTCAATCATCATGATGTCTATATCACAACTAAGGTTTAGAGGCCTAAGTTTGATTCTTGGAGTGATTTGATGTATGATGAGATAACTATGGTGTAGGCTATCATCTTAGGTTGTTCTTGACTCACTTTCCAGTTGTAGTGATGAATGTGAATGATGACCAGATATTATATCTTTCTACTCTGAGGGTTTATTGGTTTAGCAGTCTATTCAAATATTGACACTCATTCACTTAGGTTTAACGCAAATTAAAATTGGATTAAAATATACCAAAGTGAGATTATGATGGTTTTAATGTGTTGTAAGTCGTATCATTCTATTGAAGAGTATGCATCCTCTACTTACCATTGGCATATACCTAGTAAAAGTATAAAAAAAAAAATTTTTTTATATAAATGGAAACAATCTTGTAGATTGATTATTTGCTGATCTACTGATCTGATTTGGACGAATTTTAGCTTATTGGAATTATTGCATTGAAGAGAATCAGAATTTAGTATCAGTTTTTTTTAGTAGCTAATCTACTGAAAATTTTTCTAACACTGAAATTTTATGTAATAAAAATGTTTATATTAATTGCAAAATTACGCAAAACTAGTATTAATAATCACATTTCAAATTTTTATTGGTTATTCTCTAAGATTTAAGAATTAAAATAAATATAAATCATATTTTTACATAGATAGATAATGAGTTATAAGCTTTTAAAGTCAAAATATTAGGTAGTACATTACTTTTGGAAGCAACTGTATTAGATATTTGTGCAGTTAAGCAAAAAAAGTTTGTATATGTATTGTTCTCAATACTATTCAAAATATTAAGATCTTTAATGCATATTCTATATATTCTTATTTTCAAACACAAAATTTGGCATAAAGTATCTTGCATATTTCTCTTATCTCTTTTCCAACATGAATGCGAGTTAAAGAGGACATAAGTGAAGAAGTCACAAAGATTTAAAGGCAAATGTATGAAATTCAAATTATTTGTTACTTATTATTTTTTTTAGCAAAATTCTAATACTATATTTTCTATTATTATATTTTTTTCACATTATATAAAAATATTTATAATTTTTTACTTAATTCACTCTTAGATCATATTATCATATTTTCTATTATTTTTTAATTAATAAAAGATGATACATAATATTCAAAAGATACGTTAAGAGAATTAATTCATCAGGTAATTATAGTAGTAAAAAAGAATTACAATCAGACTTTAGAAAAATATCTCAAACTCGTTAATATTCTTTTAAAGGTTAGTGATTATTATTATTATGTATCAGATTTATAATCCCAAATGATGATTACACAAAATGATATTTTAATATCAAATTAAAGGAATACCTATATTTATATGAGCATAAGTTTAATCAGATGCATTATTTTCTTAAACACATAGGGTGGAACTTAGTTTTAGTTTATAAAGAAAAAAATATAGCATTCATATGCATTGTTAATTTTATACAGATTACATATAGTTAATAATTTATATTGAATATGCTGATAAGTAGTGTTGTATGTTTTTTATATTCAAAGCATTTTAAGAATGTCTAACACTATGTCCAATATTGTCTAATACTATACTCAAATGTCTAACACTATATCTAATATATTGTTCTGTGATAACACTGCTGATAAATATATGCACATGATTTTAATATTAAAAGTTAATTTCATTAGTATTAATATAAGGCTTCTGTGTTAGTTTGATGATACATATAAAGGTGTAAGTAGTCTTTGAAGTATTAAAGAATCAAAACAAAAGAACCACTCACCAAGAATGAAATCAAAATGAACTTGTATGTATTGAAAACTAATCTTAAAATAGCAAGATTATTTACACCTACTATTTCTATAAATATTTAAAAATAAAAAGTGTATTATAACGTGTTCTACTTGCTAGTCAAGTGATTTATGCAAATTTAGAAATGGTAAGAATTTTGGAAGTAAAAGCATATAACTTTTTTATAATAAGTAATTTAGCAAATAGTTTTTTGTATTATTATAGTTTACTTTTAACAAAGAGTATTGTGACCTCATAAGATCTGGCAAAACATATAAAAGTAATTGCTCCAGATCTTATCAAAAATAATTGTGATTCCTTCATTTTGAATTTCATAAACAGTATTATAAATATTCTAAATAATAGACTTTTACATGATAAAAGTTAGAAAGAATCTAATGAAAAACTAGCAAAAGTTATATTAGGTATACTCATTATCTTATGAATATTTCAGTAATAAGAGACTTAATATAACATAATAATCATATTTGATATTTCTTAAAATTTCTGTTTAAAATTATGTTTAACAATATTCTTTATAAGAGAGATATTTGAAAAAAACCCCCGTTTTTAGTTCAAAGTTGATTAAGTTACAAAATGAAGGAATATATATGACTGATGTTAGGGTTCCGCAATTCGATTTGATATTTGAATATTCGATTTGAAAATCAAATCAAATACAAATTCAAATTAATAAT